CGTTTTGGAAGCCAGAATCAGAATGGGTCGTTCTGCTGCACGCGTTGATGTTAAATAATGCATCTGGAACGACCCATTCCAGATGCAAAATTTACACACCATGAGTGAAACCGGAACGGGCCGTTCCGGATTCAGAACGGGTCGTTCTGGTTCTAGATGCATGACAAAATTTGACATCCACGTGGCATCTACGTAGCTTCCACGTGGCATCCACGTGGCCAACAGTTAACTCCGTCTAAATAATTTGGACGGAAGTCCGACATTGCAATCAATTAATTTATTAGGGACCAAATTGAGACTAAAAATAAAAGTGAGACTAAATTGAAACAAACAATTATTATAAGGGACCAAAATAGGTTTTTAGCCAATGATAAATAAAGTGTTATGAGATATGTCTTTTAAATATTTTTTTTTTGTACGAAACATTTATTTGTATATAATATACATGAGGTGATATAAAAATTAGTGTAGATTTTGACATTAAATTGATGTCTAAATATACATAGCAAGAATGTAATTTTTATAATGATTTCTCAATTTGAAAAATATACTATATTTTTCATACATCTATTTTGCTCTAGAAGTTGCAATATTTTTTTTTTAAAAAAAAGGATTAAGAAATATTGTTAGTTAGTTTATTGTCTCTTGAAGACTAAAACAAAATATTGAGATTTTTTATATGCAAGAGATCATTTTAATTAGCATTATTTCATTCCTTGAAGTGAATGTTTTGATATATTAATTTTTATCTTCTCATATTCAATAATGCGAGAAGTTAATGTTATGTGGTACCACAAATATAATTGAAGGCTCTAGAAGAGCTAATATATTATTACCGAAAGAAACGAAAGTGCATATTAAAAATGTATTATATTTTTCTAAATCTTATAGAAACTTATTAAGTTTCAATGATATTTGTTTAAATGCGTAACATTGAAACAAACAATGAAGGATATGTATAATATCTTTATATTACGAAACTCCACTTGAATAAAAAGAAAGTATTGAAAAAATTACTTGCTTTCTTCTATGAATTGTATTGCACGTATGTTAATATAGTTGAAGTACATACTATTGTAAACTAGAAGTTTACAAATCAAAATAAATTTGAGATTTGACATGATTGGTTGGGTTACCCTGGGACTATCATGATGCGAAAAATAATTAAAAATTCATGCGGACATTTATTGAAGAACCAGGAGATTCTTCAATCAAATATTTTCTCATGTATTGCTTATTCCTAGGGGAAGTTAATAATTAGACCATCACCAACAAAAATTGGAAATGAATCCTCCGGACCAGAGCCTCTCTCTGTACTTCCTCAATCTAGAAATTGTCTCTGTTTGACAAATGAGACCCTCCGGTCCTAAGTCCCTATATATAACCATTTTCCAAAATTTCCAAATTTCACCCTTAGCACCTATTCACCTCAAATATTTTATTCCTTGAAGTATTTCAACTCCCTAAGCTCTAAAAAAACCTCAAATTCACTCAGAAAGATCAGATTTATCTTATGTTCCTATCTTTCAATCTCCCACCAATCCTATTCCTTTCTATACAATACTCACAACAGATCGGACTATTTACATCGGTTTTGAAATGTTCTAATTTTTTTAAGATAATAAATTGTGGACCACTAAAACAATTGAACCGACCTTAGTTTAATAAAAATATATAACTCTACCATTAAATCAATTTCTACCATTTCTACGAAAATATAACTGTATTTTTAGTTGTTAACTCTTATCCAAACCGAGTATCAACACCAATTTTGAAAACAATAAAAAATATAAAAATACACAATACATTATTGAACATTCCCAAATAATATGTCTCGGATTTTCGTTCCACCGAAAGCAAAGAAATTGTGTATAGAAGAATATAGACAGACTACAAGGAAAGGTCAAAGTCAGTAGCTGGTTACATTGTCAACTGTTGTGAACTAACCATTGAATATTTTTTCATAGCCTTACACATTTTTTTAAAGTATATATATATATTATTTTGTTAAATATAAACTATAAATGCACATATATTAATATGAGTAAAACTGAATTTGAGTCTTTAAATAAATATTTTGAATTTTAATTTTGTGGAAGAAAAGTGGTTTGGAGAACAAATCTTTCTAAAAACCATAATATGTAAAAATTAGTTAATCTAGATACTTTATATATTAAACATGATGATTAAAAAAAAATGTTTGGATGATATGGGTAAAACTTTTATCAATTATTACATTGTTCAATAATCTTATATTAAATATAAATTTTATTAATTTAACTTCTAAATTATAACTTCATATCATCTTATATGTATATCAAATTTTATTAAAATTGAATAACAATTTAAAAATTATCAAAATATTCATATCTTAGTATAACTTGAAATGTATATATTATGTTAATTTTATTTTATAAAAATAAGATATTAAATTATCTTGAATAAATATAAAATTATATATATAATTTAAGAATAAAAATATTTTTAATTTAATGATAAAATTTAAAATATCTATATTTAATATAAATAATATCAATAATATATTTTTATTAATTATTACATGATAGAATAATTTTGTGCCGAATAATTTTATAGTTTGAAGGATGAGCGAAGCATGTTGAAGTATGAGTGCGTCCACGCGCATGATGGAAACATGGGGTTGGAACTTTGAACGACGAGGCAAAGAAAAGAAAACCTAATTCTTCTTGTTGTTGTTCTTCTCCTCTTCCTCGTTTTACCCACACACCCACCCAAGTTGTCCAATAATCCATTCCAAAGTAAGAGACAAAATTAGGTGCAAGGCATTGACAATGAGAGAGAAAAATGGGACATGTGTTCCTAAGTCAGCAACTCAGACTTTTGCTGTTCCTGCCTCTGCCTTTGCCTCTCTTCTCTCTTCTCTCATCAAGTCAGCTCCTGCATCTTCTTTTCAAATCTACTAATATAATAAATACTATAATAACAAGCTTCTTCCCTTCTCAACAAATGTCTTTGTATATTAGGTAAAGAATTCAATTTTTGTTCAATAAATAACTATATTAGTGTTCCATCAACAACATTCATTATAATAAATTATCAATGTATTATTGTTGGTTCCACCACACTGAATTTAAATCTTTTATGCGAAATATTAAATTTGAGAGTGTTATAAGTAAATCAAATTATGCTAACAAATAGTGAAGAGTTGATGACGATTAGATAAAATTATTGTCAATTAATTAAAATTATTTTTGATATAAAGTTTAAAATAATTATTATAAAATTATAAATTTGTGATTTGATGATACTGTAAAAAAATATTAGTCTTTCCATGCATGTATTATTTACTAATGTTTAGAATACATTACGATAGATATTTTTAAATATATTTTATTATTAAATACATTTTATACGAAATTTATTATATAGAAGATGGACTTTTATTTTTGGTTATATATGGAAAGCTAAAACCGAAGAAAAAAGCGAGGCAAAGCAAAACAGAAAAACACGAAGCTTATTACGAAGGTATGGTTTTAAATAGCATTGTTTAATACGTAGTTATAAAAGTTTTGATAATAAAAATGTTTATTTCTTCTAATATTAAGATACTGAGTAAAGAGAGAGAACTTTCCTTTTCTGTCTTTTACCATTCTACATCTCTCCTACATCATAGTTCCTTGATTTGAGATTTCTGCTATCCTTGTCTTCCTCTAGATTCTATCTATCACTGTTTGGGTTTGAAAATCAGAGAGATCTGACAGCTATTACCCTTTGACACAAAAAGGAGATATCAAAATCTTAGAAGAGGAATGATACAAAAAAAATAATAAAAAAAGGGTTTGGTTCGGAAGCTGAAGGGGACCCGTTTGATGAAAGTTTGTTGAGATTAGGTTCTCAGGGCACTGTTGTTGGCTGCCCTTTTCTTTGTTCTCCTCCTTGAGCTTAAATTTCAAACATTTCCGGTTTCTGCTGCACCAAGTAAACACAGGTTTCATTTTTGTGCAAAAGGGTGTGTTGTGAGTCCTGAGAGATCCCGTGGGATTTTTTCTAGTTAAATGGTGGTTGTTGAGTAGAGTTCAGTTCTGAGGTTTTGGGGTTTTGTTTTTTGGGTCAAAGATCTTACATTTGAGGTGGGGACTGAGGGATCTCACGCTCTCTACTTGTGTTATTGATTGTTGTCTCACTTTTATTTTTTAATGGCCACTGTTGATTGCTTCGTCCGCAAGCTGTTGCCATATGGTCCATGTTCTACTTTCTTTGGTGTTTGGGGATATGGGATATAAGTATCTTCATTTGGGCATCCTATATCTCTTTCTTCAAGGGTGGTGTTTCTGAATCTGGTTTCAGATTGAGTAGGGGTTCTTCCACTGTCTAGATCTCTTGTTCTTGGGATTTGGTTTTGGTGGGGATTGGTGATCCAAATCTTTTCCTTGAAATTCGGGATTTCCTTTGCAATCCCTTGCAAGGAGCAACTTATTTGTTGCAGTTTGAAGTTTGAAAGTCTTGGAGCTGTGATTAAAATTCAAGTGGAGTTCTTCTTCTCAAGCACAGTACTTTTCAGTGGTGCTAGCTTCTGTTGTGTTCATGGGAGCTTAGCCTTGATTCTGAGCTGAGTATATCAGTTTGGTTTCAGCAATGGTGCTGCTCAGATGTTTCTCAGTGACACTTTTGCAGTGGTGTTTCTTGGCTTGCTTACTTTGCTTGTCTCTGGGTCTTGGCAATCAAGCCCCATCTTGTGACCCTCATGATTTATCTGCCCTGAAGGAGTTTGCAGGCAATCTTACAAGTGGCTCTATCACCACAGCATGGTCCAATGACACTGTCTGCTGCAACTGGCTTGGAGTTGTTTGTGATAATGTGACTGGTGGGGGTGGAACAGTTGCTAGTAGAGTGACCAAGTTGATCCTGCCTCAAATGGGTCTCAATGGGAAAATTTCACCCTCTTTGGGACAGCTAGATCAGCTCAATGTGCTGAATCTTTCATTTAATCACCTCAAGGGTGGTTTTCCTGTAGAGTTCTCCAAGTTGAAGCAGTTGAAGTTCCTTGATGTGAGCCATAATATGCTGTCTGGACCTGTTGCTGAGGCTCTTTCTGGTTTGCAATCCATTGAAGTATTGAATATTTCTAGCAATTCACTCTCTGGAGTTCTCTTCCCTTTTGGGGAATTCCCACATCTCCTTGCTCTCAACGTTAGTAACAATTCATTCACAGGAAGTTTCAATTCACAAGTTTGCAGTTCTTCCAAGGGTCTTCACACCCTTGATTTATCTACAAATCATTTTGCTGGTGGTCTTGAAGGCTTGGACAACTGCACCACATCTCTCCAACAGTTGCATTTGGATAGAAATTCATTTTCTGGCCCTCTTCCAGATTCCTTGTATTCAATGTCAGCCTTGGAGGAACTCTCATTCTCTGCCAACAATTTATCTGGCCAGTTAAGCAAGCAACTAAGTAAGCTCTCTAACTTGAAAAAGCTGGTGGTTTCTGGAAACCGGTTTTCTGGGGAAATTCCGAATGTGTTTGGGAACCTTTTGCAGCTACAAGAATTAGAAGCACGTGCCAATTCATTTTCTGGGCCCTTACCTTCCTCCTTGGCTTTATGCTCTAAGCTTAGGGTGCTTAATCTTAGGAATAATTCCTTGTCAGGGCCTATAGATCTTAATTTCACTGGCTTGTCTAGTCTCCAAACACTTGACCTTGCTACTAATCATTTCATTGGACACCTTCCAACTTCCCTGTCCTATTGCCGTGAATTGAAAGTTTTAAACCTTGCTAGGAATGGTTTAACTGGTTTTGTCCCTGAAAACTATGCCAACCTCACTTCACTCTTGTTTGTATCCTTGTCAAACAACAGCATTGAGAACTTATCTGGGGCGGTCTCTGTTCTGCAGCAGTGCAAAAATCTCACCACCCTTATCCTCACCAAGAATTTCCATGGTGAGGAAATTTCAGAAAGTGTAAAAGTTGGATTTGAGAGCCTTATGATTTTAGCACTTGGAAATTGTGGTCTTAAAGGCCATATTCCTTCTTGGCTATCCAATTGCAGGAAGTTGGCTGTGCTTGACTTGTCTTGGAACCATTTGAATGGTAGTATTCCTTCTTGGATTGGTCAGATGGACAATTTGTTCTACTTGGATTTCTCAAATAATTCTCTCACAGGAGAAATACCAAAAAGTTTGACAGAGTTGAAGGGCCTCATGTGCCCAAACTGTAGTAGAGAAAATCTTGCTGCATTTGCATTCATTCCTCTCTTTGTCAAGAGAAACACTAGTGTGAATGGGCTGCAATATAACCAGGCCTCAAGTTTCCCTCCTTCAATTTACTTGAGCAACAACATATTAAGTGGAAATATATGGCCTGAAATTGGTCGATTGAAAGCACTGCATGTCTTAGATTTCAGCAGGAACAACGTCACCGGTACCATTCCTAGCACTATTTCAGAGATGGAGAACTTGGAATCTTTAGATTTATCTTATAATGATCTGTCTGGAGAAATTCCTTCATCATTTAACAATCTCACATTCTTGTCAAAGTTCAGTGTGGCATATAATCGCCTAGAAGGACCAATTCCAACCGGGGGGCAGTTTTTAAGCTTCCCTAGTTCTAGCTTTGAAGGCAACCTGGGGCTTTGTAGGGGAATTGATTCTCCTTGCAAAACTGTCAACAATACAAAGCCTATCACCACTTCTGGTTCTTCCAGAAAACATGGTAGAGGCAATGTCCTTGGCATAACAATCAGTATAGGCATAGGGCTTGCACTGCTTCTTGCAATTATTTTGCTAAGAATGTCAAGGAGGGATGGAGATAAGCCTATCGATAACTTTGATGAGGAACTGGGTAGCAGACCACACAGGTTATCCGAAGCACTTGTTTCCTCAAAGTTGGTGCTTTTTCAGAATTCAGATTGCAAGGATCTTACAGTTGCAGATTTGTTAAAATCCACAAACAATTTCAACCAGGCAAATATTATTGGTTGTGGCGGGTTTGGTCTTGTCTACAAGGCATGTCTTCCAAATGGAACAAAAGCAGCTATCAAGAGACTTTCAGGGGATTGTGGTCAGATGGAACGTGAATTTCAAGCTGAAGTAGAGGCCCTCTCAAGAGCTCAACACAAGAACCTTGTTTCTCTTAAAGGATATTGTCGGCATGGCAATGACAGATTACTAATATACTCATACTTGGAGAATGGAAGCTTGGATTATTGGCTACATGAGTGTGTGGATGAAAATTCAGCTCTAAAATGGGATGCAAGACTCAAGATTGCACAAGGTGCTGCTCGTGGATTAGCTTACTTGCACAAGGGTTGTGAACCATACATTGTGCATCGAGATGTTAAATCTAGCAACATACTTTTGGATGATAAGTTTGAAGCTCATTTGGCTGACTTTGGTCTCTCAAGGCTACTTCAACCATATGACACTCATGTCACAACTGACTTGGTAGGAACTTTAGGATATATTCCTCCTGAATATAGTCAGACACTGACAGCAACCTTCAGGGGTGATGTTTATAGTTTTGGTGTTGTTCTTCTCGAGCTTCTTACTGGTAGAAGGCCTGTGGAAGTGATCAAGGGGAAGAATTGCAGAAATCTGGTTTCTTGGGTGTTTCAGATGAAATCTGAGAATAAGGAGCAGGAAATTTTTGATCCAGCAATTTGGCTGAAGGATCATGAGAAACAGCTATTGGAGGTGCTTGCCATTGCTTGTAAATGCCTAGACCAAGATCCTAGGCAGAGACCCTCTATCGAAGCAGTTGTTTCATGGCTTGATAGTGTAAGATTTGATGGACCTCAACAATGTTCTTAGTTGCATTGGTGCCCTCATATTTTGGTTTTGGTTAGTGTATTGTATTGTATCATTGATTACACAGTTGTAAAGCAAGTTTGTTGTATGAAGGTGGAATGTAATTGATATGGCAACTTCCTTATTTCGTTTTAGTCCTTTAGTTCATTAATACCGATAGGTGTAATATGTATAAATGATAATTTTGGCTATGAGATCGTCTTTCAATAAGCAGTATGAATATTTTTAGCTTTTCTTTTTCGTTGATAATCTGTGTCCAATTGTTAGTGATTTTAATGTTATGTCTTAGTCGGACTCGTTCGCTGTTCCATGCGTGTGCATGTGCATGTGATGCATGGCGATTTTTGACAAACTGATTTCTAATACTTCCAAATATAGGTGTCTTTTTTCTCAGATTGACTTCTTTACCTGGTCTAAATCACTCAGTCTTGGATTTTTTGTCTATTCCTGATTGTTGGTAAGATTCACTTTGTGTGGCTCCAATTTGTAGTCTTTGTACCTAAACAGCATGCATGCACCATTTCTTTTTCTTAACAAGAGTTGATTCAGTATATATATATATAGTTTCTACATTTATAAGTGATAACGCAAAAGTAGTATATGTAGTTTCTGCATTTATAAATGATTAGCAAAATTAGTTCTCACACTTCATTTAGGTATTTCCTTAAACCTTATTTCAACAGGGAAAAATAACTATAAAGTCCTAGCAATTTGTCTCAGCAGGCCACCCTTGCATGCGCACATTTGTGGCATTAGCAAGCCTGTATAAATCACTAATGTTTGTTTTTTTTGGTAACCATTTTACTACCAGCCACACTAATAGCTCCCAGAATAGCAATTTTTTTTGGTTCTTGTTGAGCCTCCCGGGTCCTATCTTCTAATGCCAAAATTAAAAATAAATAAATAAATAATCATTGCAGAAGCTCATTTCATTATCTCATTTTGGTGTTTATGCCTCTTCAACTCAAGGTTTTGTCTAGTATTCATGTCATCATTCTTTCTTCTATGTGAAAGGCTTTTATTTTCCCCAAAATTCACAGTAGGATAATGCAGATATAAAAATGTTTCTACTTAAAGCAAGTGATACTTCCTTGTCTATTTCATTGCAATCAAAGACTATCCAATAGTGAAATGCCTGATAATATTTGTTTGATAGTCGTTTTCCAACCTTTTTTCTTTTTTTTTTTCTTGTGGAATAAGAATTTGCTGGGCTTCAATCTTCCAGTCAAAGAGTTTTTGAGGGAAAAACGTTGACTAAAACTAAATTGGTCATTCATGGGATGATCCCTTCACTCACAAAAGGAATAACATTTCCTAGTGGTTTAAGGGGGAATGGACAAAACACTTCTTGAAAAGTGGGGGCATCATGGGCATAACAAGATGAGTGGAATATGCACTAAGGAATTCATCAATTGGCTGAAGAAATAAATCCCATCATAACATTGATGTGAAATTCCACTGCCATCTATTATACACGAGACTGTCTTTTCCATGTTAATTGAAACCCTCCAATGCCATTACTTTAATCAGCAGGAGCTGGCTGAGGAACACCAACACTTAAAAAGTGGCTTTTTGTAGAGAATGGAAGAAATTTATATGGTTGCTTGAAATTGTATATTGTCTCAAAAGTTTTGATTAACCTAAAATCCCATGAAACCAACCACAAAGTTGCAATAACACATTTAAATATATGCCTAAGCTTTTTTGGCAGCAGAGGTGAGGCCTCTATCTCTTTCCATAGCAACTTGGTGTGAACTCACCTAATGCACAAATTGGGTGGTTATAAACATATCCAAGCAATTTCTCTTCCGCGTATGGTGACCAATAATGCCTTATATTTTAAGATGCAGTACTTTAGACATCAAAAAGTAGAAATGATGTTGGTCAAGTCATCATCTATGAAAGTAGAATTGATACGTTCACATTTTAAATTAAAAATTTTCAACTACAAAATGAGGCTAAGCAATTTGGAATTGTTCTCTGATTTGATGTCTAGTTGAAAATAGAGGCATAGGAGAAAATAGTGGATAAAGATCACAAGGGTGCAAGTTATGGACAAAAATACCTCGGACCCTACAACAATTAGTATGGGTTTTCCATACCCTTTTTCATGATTAAAAATTATATCAAAACTGGGAGTGAATTGTTGACAATCTTGTAGTACTATTTATTTTGAGAGTTAATTTATTGATTTAATATTTTATATAAAAATATTTACAATAAGAAAAAAAATTATATATGTTAAATGTTACGATTTAAAGAGAAGTATGCAATCCTAAAACTCTGAAAATACTTTCCAAAAGTGGAGAAATAATCCTAGTACCCAACAAATGGCATATATAGACAGACAAGGCTGTTTTGGCGTTTGGACTTTTGTACTTGTGGCTTTTTCTTTTGACCAGCCGAAAAGAACATAGTTGCATTTGAGTAATTTTCTTGCCACTTTTTTTCCCCCTTATTTCCAAAATTAGATTTTTTAGAAATTATTTATAACATTCCAAAAACTAATTTTCAAAAAGATAAAAACATAAGATAAGACTATAAGAGTACTAAGAGAGGTAAAAAAAAATGAAATCACCTCAAACAGTAATGGAGACTCCTAACATTTTCTGGGCCTCCCAAAATCATGACCAAAACTTACCTATTTCTATTTTCGGGCCCAATGCAATGTTGCCTTCACCGCTTAGTCCTAACATATATTTCAAGGCCAATACTAAGAAGAAGACATAGCAAACTTACAATGTTGTTAAAGAAGAAAACAATCCTCTTAATTTATATTTTGTTCTTTAGCTTTTTCTTTTTCTTTTCAAAATGATACTATCATGTGTGCAATGTTTTAAATGTTTTTCGTCTTCAACTTTCGTTTAATCAACTTCTAGGGGTGAATTTTATAAGATTTATCGAGAAAAACTTTTTATTTCAATTAAAAATAGCATTAGCCGTTCTCAAGATAATTGAAGTTTAATTGTAGTCCAAAAATAATGAAAAAATCAACAATTAATTTTTTAAAAGATGAATCTTTATATATTAAACACAAATTTAAATAAAAATTTAAATTTAAATCTTAAATTTTAATGTTGTCCTGTTTTTAGGGACTGTTCTTGGATGGAATTTTTAAAATTTTTTATTTATTTCAATTTTTTTAGGGGAGTTTAATTCAATTTTTATTTATCATAATTTATTTATTAATTAAATATTAATATTTTTAAATTAAATTAAAAAAAACTACATGTATCTTTTGATTTCTTATAAGCACTTACGAATAAATTTATCTACAACTATAATAAAGGAGATGGATGATTTTGGTATATAAAATTTTTGTCCAATTTTATCCTTATAACTACTTTTTTACAAATTACAATCTTTCATATAAATTTTACTCCATAACTATCCATATTTTAAATAATCCTTACTATTATATAATTTTTATTATCTATTATTTTTTAAAAAATAAATTCACAGAGATATGAAGTGTTTTTTTTACAAAGTAGTTAAAATATAACTAATATTTTAACCTATATATGTAATGCACATGTTAAATATTTATTATATATAATTAAAATTTATAATAAATTATATATAACAATAAATATCACAATTGAATATATAAATTATATTTAAAATTAATATACATAAATATTTTTAAA